GATAGAAACGTGATACAAGATTGAAAGAAATCGAAAACGCATAAACGCTACAATGGAGAGTATAAAAGCGCTATTGATAAAATAGTTGGATGATTTGTTTGATACCCCCATCAGTGCAATTCTTACTCTTTTTCTCCTGTCACATCCGACGCCTCTCGGCCGCCGTGAACTGCAAGCGTCACATTTTTTTTTTTTATTTCTCAAATCTCGATTCGATATTCTTTCTCTGAGGGGTCTCTGTGGTAAGTTCAATTTATTCGCAGGTGAGCAATTTCGTTCTTTCAGATTAATTTATTTCCTGTACGATCTTTTCCGATTTTTTTCCGATCAAATTTCCTTAGATTGACCTTAATTGTATTTGTATGAAGCTGGATGTATGCAGCTATCGATTTTACAAGTTTCTACGCTGGGTTTGGTTGCATATTAATGTATCTTGTAGTCGTTAAATGGTATCTTTCCTTTAATTGAAATGCATTGGACTTGAATAAAAAATAGTTTTTGGGTTATAATTTTTATGAACACTGAATAATTAAGGCAAAACATTATTAGGGTAAAGATAATTGTAGAATTTGCAGTAGAAATAAAACTATGATGTTAAACTAACTTTTTACTTGATCATCTTAAAACTTATGGCTCTTGGTGGTATGATGAGTGCAGGACATTTTCAATTCGGTTTTATTTTGTGAAGTTTCTGCTCACTGTTTCACCAGAAATGATTGTTTTTTTTCTTGCGGAATGCGTAATTTTTTTCCCGTTCATTCCAGTGCACGATTTAGTAAATTGATTGAGGAAAAGATATACTTTTGCAATGTGTTTACTTAAATGTTTCTCCTGTATCACACATAATTGATAATTATTTTTGAAGCCTGTCAGTTTAAGTGTTCATACATACTGGGCCTTGCTATTATTTTGCATATTCTTTTGTTGTTGGCGATTAATTAACGCACTTCATACTTTAGACCGATTCTATGTATGGTTTGGTGTCTTTGGTTGCTGTTGGAGGCTTCTCCTCAGCAGGTGGTCATCAATTATCCTAATTGGTCATTCATGCTAAAATTGTTAACGTTCATGAATGTGATCCTTACGCAAACTGGTGGTATCGTTACCATGTTGTGTATTTTGTATTGACTTGTGAAAACTATCGTGTCTTTGACTTTGATTCATTCTCATTTTTTTATTTTTTCTTGAGCAGAACAACAGACATTTTCTCGTCATGGTGAATGCAATCAAAGGATTGTACATTTCATGGTAAAATAAATTACTATCATATGTGGCAAAATTATACTTTCTTGTCTAATAGTGATGGTAAATATCTTATTTTCGCCTTCATCCAGTTTTAGTCCTAGCGTCAACCTAAGTTTGAAGTCAGTTCTTTTCAGAGATCCTCCACTATGTTACATATTCAAGAATAAAAAATAGGGTTGATCCTCCACTAGACATTGATGTTGGCAGCTAATCCTTTCTTAAGATCCTCATAATGAATGGTTAACCACACAAGTGCTGCCCATCTTTGCTTAAAAAATTCACCTTCTCTGCTTTTCTTCTAAAATATAAGTCTCGTTTCCTGTTCAGTGATGTTCCCATGGCCCAGTTCATCATCAACATGAATGCTGCTTTGCCTCAGTCCCAGAAGTTTATAATACACGTGCTGGATAACACTCATATTTTTGTGCGCTCTGATGTGGCTGGTATGATCAGAAGTGCTATTGCAACTTTTAGAGAGCAGAACACGTACGAGAAGCCCTCCTCTTAAATCTCTTTACTGGAAATTTTATCAGTTTTCCACTGTTACAAAGCTTTGTGTGGTTTTGGGCATATATTCGAACCTAAATCGTGTGGCTGCATTATCGATTGTCATCAATGTGATATATCAAAGTACTTTTTAGACAATTTGCAAGGAACTTACGTGTGTAACTAGCCATAGAATGTGCTTAACAGAATGGTGTGTATATGGCTCAGGGGTTTTAGTCTTATAAATTATTAAAGAACATGGATTTTACTAAGCTAAGATAAATTCTAATTGGAAAATCTCTTGAAGCGTTGTATATTGGAATTTTTCATGGGTATTGGTTCATTATTAGGATGTGCCTTGTGTGATTGGTTATTCTTAATTTGGTATGATACTTGTGGCCAAGTTAGTATTATGCCATTGTGCTTCAAGGATTTTTATATATCTTTTTTATGGTTAATTTAATCGAATTTGCAAATAACCATTTGAGTGAATAGTGGAATTTTGCTCTTTTACGTGTAAAAATAATTAGTGGCTTCATTTAAAATGGTTATAGATTGTAAAAGAAATGGCTGAAGAAATTTTCACAATTTGCAAGGAAAGTCCAAGAAAATAAGTAAAGTTGAATGACCAGTGTATCTTTTGATAGGCACTGACTCATTGTGTCTACCATACTTTGCACCCAAATTTAGAAGCAATTGGGAATTGATTCTAGTCTAATGGTGAAAACGTCTTTCTAGGCGAAGGGTTGAATTGCATGGGTGAGTGTATTGTGAAATAATTCTTATATTTTTTTTGAGAATAAATTTTACAGATGCGAATTAATATTTTTCATTCAAATATGCGAACTATGTAGATGTTGATAAATATTTATTATATGTTTAATAATTTATTAATATATCTTATTTTTAGTTTTGGTGTGATGTATTTAGCACTTGTTTTTCGTACACGTTTATGTTGAAGCATATATTTATTATTTTTTCCATCACATGATCGTCCTGATACTTCGCACATTACATCTATTACTAGAATAACATCGTAACCGTTGGGAGTGTCCCAACATTCCTCATCTACCTACTCATCTTTTGAGAGACAAACAATTCATTATTCCTATCTTGTTGTCTCTTCTAGTTTTCATTAACAATATTTATACTATTATAAACCATACTTCTATTTATATTATTTTTTAATGTACCATATTCTTAGTGAAAAGTTTTATATTAGTACATGATTGGTGATAAAACAACACTTAATGTTGCTGATAACACAGAATTTATGATGAGAAAAAAGTGGCAAGTAAAATGCCAAGAATTAAAATGTCATTAAAAAATGTCATATCTATCATCCACTCCCGAAGCTTGACGTGCCCTGTAGGACTCAACTCTCATTCAGGATTCCTAGTTGGATTTCCATTTGCTCCACTCAAACATTTCTTGAAGATTATTATTCTTCCCCACAAACCTTTTTTCCTCAAACAAAAGAAATTTGATTTGTTGGAATATTCCTTCATCCCACCAAACAATCATTATTTATGCCACTCCTCATCAAGAAATCCTTTTTTGGCCATGAATGAATTTTCTTTTGTTGGCATTTCTCTTATCTCTCACTTTATTCTTCCTTACACGGATTGGGCACCATTTGCAACAACTACATCAGCGTAACCAAATAACCAATAGATGGATAAAAGTATAATCGAAACCACATTGTCCTAAACAAATGACACTGTAACTCCCGGGGACCGCCCTCTCGGTCTGAAATCTGAATCTGTGCCTTGTAAGTTTTTCCAGCTTGTCTTATATCATTACCCAACAGACTCAAAACAATATTAATTTTGGTCTTTTGACTGTTTGTCTGGTGTAGAAAACATATGCTAATTGAGTTTGGTCGAGTCACGAACCATATCTCACGTCCTGAACTCACCCGTAAGACTTGATGATGAACTAATTTAACAGGTTACTTGAAATAAATTTGGTCATTAGCTTAAGTTGAGGCTCTACATGGTGATCCATCAAGCTCTCACACATTTGAAGAATATAAAATAAACCCGCGTGAACATTATAAATTTCAACATTATTTCCACGTCCTGATATTTGTACGTACATCCATATAAAACCAATAAAGCAAAGAACTCAAACCAACCGTAAGTCACGCTATAACCTCGCCCCACTCTTTCCCTTTTCTCTCGTCTTCCCCATCCTCACTATCCCCACTACTAATAATCTCCACTCGTCTTCTCGCCTTATCCACCTCATCCTCCCAATCAATCCTCGCAACAAACACCAACACCACCGCCAAACACGCCGTAACCCCTCCCACAAACCCTAACACCAAACCCTCCAACCCCATCCCCACCCTAAACCCCAGCACCACCCCAACCGGCAACGCCACCACATAAAACCCTAACACATTCCCATAAGTCCCGAGCCACGGCTTCGCCGTCCCCCTCAAAACCCCACCGCAAACCGCCAAAGGGAAATTCACCACCTCCACCGCCGCCATCACCGGCATCA